TGCCAGCGGAAGGCGTCCTCGATAAGGTAAGTCTTATAAAATATATAGATTTGTGATAGTTAAGACTGAGCTAGCAGATGATAAATCCTAGTCATTGGCCAAGCAGCAGTTGTACCTAATGTAAGTCTCTGTGTGTTACTTGGGACCTTAATGTATCGACAGGCATAACTTGGGCGGACTGGTGGAAAGTGCCCACGTTGTAGCAGGGCTCTGGCAGCTTGGAGTAAAGACTTATTGTTAAAGCTGCAATTTACCAAGTGTAGAAAATGCCCTATTTTTTAAAAATAGCATTTCTTTATTTTAAAAACTCATTAATATAATCTTAATTATTTATTTAAAAACTTGAGATTTTTTCTTTTCTTCTTTTTTTTTTTTTGAGACAGGGTTTCTCTGTGTAGCTTTGGAGCCTATCCTGGCACTCACTCTGGAGACCAGGCTGGCCTCGAACTCACAGAGATCTGCCTGCCTCTGCCTCCCTAGTGCTGGGATTAAAGGCGTGTGCCACCGACTCCCAGTGAGATTTTTTTCTTTATTTCTTAAATATCCTAGTTACAGAGGTATATTTTCTGATATTTCATCATTCACATAACCCTAGGAAACCCCCACACGATGATCTATTTTTCTCAGATGGCATGAATTACAGGCTTTATCTTACAAAAATGACTCCAGGAGATCCCCTTACCCTCGTTCTTCCAATACAGTGATCTCCTATTTATTCCATTAAGAGTATGAGTGGATGTTCTCTTCCTGGGATTCTAATACACCATGGCTATGGTGGGACTTCCAAGGTGAGGTCATAATGGGTGGGTGGGGCTGCTTCTATCAGTTTTTCTGGAGCAGAAGGCTCTGGCATCCAAACATGAAGATGCCCCAAATCCAAAAAAGGACATCTGACTGCAGGCAAAGGACAGTCTTTAGTCTGAGGTTCAGCTAAGGTCTACGTCTATAGTGACCCTGGCATGAAGCATCTTGAACGTAAGTCCTGTGACATGAAGTGACATCAACTCAGCTGAGAGCATGCTGTGAACGCCACACAAATCCCCCATCTCAGGTGTGCGAGTGAAACTGAAAGCAGGCTATAAACTGCCAAGTCTAGGACATGTTTGTTACGCAGCGGTCTTTTAATATTTTGGCCACTGCTTTCTTTTAAAAAAATATATTCAGTTACTTAAGTTTTTTCATATGAGGATATATTGCACACTAAGCACATTTCCCCCTCCACTCCCCTGTGGTAGCTAGAAATTTGCTTTCAGTCAACAAGTCCCAGTAGTGCATCTTCACTGTGTTTTCTCAAGGGTCTACTAACTCCCCAGTCCTGTGTCATAACTTAGTTCAAAGGGATCTTGGTCATCTGTCTCGTCTACAAACTGTCACTCTGGTCCATTGTATTGATGGCATTGCTAGTAGGACCGAGTGAGCAAGAGGTAGCAACCACTGTGGACTCCCTGGTAAAAGATATGCACATCAGAGGATTGGAAATAAATGCAATCAAAATTTAAGTACCTTCTACCTCAGAGAATTTTCTAGCAGCCCACTGATGTGGGGAATACAGATGAAGGATTATCCTGAAGAATGAGTTATTGCAACTGGCCCCAAGAAAGAAACACAAAACATCCTAAATCTGGGTCACACCCACTGCTGACAAGTCATATGACAAGGAAGAAAGAAACTTTGCTTTTTGCCTGCTCACTCTCTCTGGCAAGTTCATCTCTCCTGTTGTTGGAGCCTGCACTAAGTCCAGCCTCCTCAAGGTCCCAACAAAGACCAAAATCCAGAGACTCTCCTGGAAGCCTCCAGGACTCCAGCAACAGATTGAGACTGTAGAGACATGCAGTCCTGTGGACTGACCAACTACCGGATCCTCAGCTTTTCAAACACAAGACAGCCATTGTTGTACCACTTAGTTCACACCCTGCCAGCCAATGAATATCACTCCCACACATAGAAATAAATATACACACACTCTGCATATCAGTTCTGGCCACTTAGAGAACTGTCACACCTGTTCTTGGTTGTTAGCTTGACTACATTTGGAATTAACTGGGATACAGACATGGAGGGCACACCTGTGAGGGATTTTTTTGGGGGGGGGCTTGGTTTGAAGTGGGTGGGTCCACTTCCAGTCCAGACCTTTAAGGTAGGAAGACAAATACCTTTGATCTGGATCTGGAGGCAGGAAGATACAACTTTCATCTGGGCCACACCTTCTGCTGGACGCCCATGGAGGGACTCATGTTTGCTCCTTGTCTGCTTGCCCTCATATTGCTAGCACATCCAATCCATTGCATCCCTGAGGTTAGAGCCTACATGTCTGGAACTCCAGCATAAATTGAAGAGCAGTGGAGACATAAGACACACAGCTCCACAGACTGAGCAGCTACTTACTGGATTCTTGCACTTTTTCTTTGTATCAAATATGTAAAGGAGCAGAATAGGCATACTTCATATATATATACATACACATATGTATATATACATATATATTCGTTCTGTGAGATCTGATAGTCTAGAGAACCCCAACTAATACAGAGAACCCGTATACATCCCGTGGCACCCCCTGTCTACCCATTCTTCCATCCCATCGGTCCTTTTGTCTCTCCTCCTTTCGTGAGGATTCAGACATTGAGTTATACTTTTGCTTCTAGCCCTTCAGGATTGATTCGCACATCAAAGCCATCACACCTTTTAAACTGAGTTGGGAAACGTTCCCTTTCCAGCCCCTAAAAGTGTCTGTGGAAATTTGAAATAGTGAAATAGTGTTTCTTTAATGTTTGATTAATTTAAAAAGTGAGCGTGAGAAGCAGCCAGGGTTTAGGCTATTTTTTTTTTTTTTTTGAAAGATTTTTTTTTTTTTTTGCCTCCTGGCCAGTTTTAAAAAGCATGGCTTTATTTTCCAATTTAGATACATTTACTGAGGCATGTTGTGTCCGTGTAGGTACGTGACCCATGTATGGAGGTCAGAGGACAACATGTAGGTTCTGTTTTCTTCTATTATTTCCTGGAAATGGAACTAGGCCGTCAGGTTTAGCAGTGAGTCTATTCACCCACGGATCCATCCCGCGGGGTCCAGATTTTTGTTTGTTTTTAAAGGAAATTGCTTACTTATACCTCCCAGGCTTCCCCAATGATGAACATCCAAGGTTCAGTGTAACTCGATTATGTTCCTGCACTCTAGCTTTTTTCCTTTTCCACGATGAGACCCGGCCTTCCTTCATTGAAGGAGGCCAGGCACCGGCTAAGGGATTTCATCTTTGCCCTGTGTTTATTTCTGCTGTGATTTCTCCCGTCTCCCTCACTTTTTAGACCT